AAAAAAATATTACAGAAACAAAAAGAARWAACTATTCAAGCTTTTMGTTTGTTAAATACTTGAAAGTTTCTTCAATTTATTTTCATTTAAGGGCTACYTTTCCATTTAAGGAAAGGGCTACCAAAACAGTTTAAAATATTGAAATATGATGTGCCCCCACACAGGCAGACCTTCACCAGAAAATTTCACATACTGATGCATCTGGTTGGTGAGCAGGTAACAATATCCACAACACCTCTCGAGTTGTTGCTGTGTCATTGCCTCTTTATGATAGTGTCTGCTTGTAGAGCAAACAAAAAAAAGAGGTGTTTTCGGGTATCTTTTAAATGTCTCAAAATCCTCCTCTCACAAATCTAACACTTGAGAGGAAAACAGTATCCAGGCATCAAATAAGCAGCAGAGAATTTCTAAAAATAAAACCCTTTCCGTCAGGTTCACCCTTGCCTGCAAGGAACAGGCTTATGACAGGAAGGAAAATTAAGCTATCCTGACCACTCTGTGAAATACACAACCAACCATCTCAGTCTAGTGGTCATGTACAAGATAAAAACCTATTTAAAGCAAGACATGCAGATTCTATTTGAAAAAAAAAAAAATCAAGTAGAAAACCCAAACAAACACAAAAAATCAACCACAAATGCTTCACTTCTTGCAGTTTAGAAGTAAGACAAACTGACAGTGATATCAGAGACATCTCTCAGAAGCATAAAAAAGAATTAAACTTCTTTTTTTCCAATAGGGACAAAAAAAAACTTCTCTTGGGACACATAAAAACAACCAGAGCAAAAACCATTCAATACTACATAAAARAAGACGCTTCTTCCTGAGTAAATATTTTACTTTACAAAAAGGATCCCGCCCAAGAAGCTGTTTCATACCAGAGCTGAAAATTCACACAAACACTGTGTTCTTACCGGTACCCTGCTAAGAGGGGGCTTTGAAGGAGAGGTCCCCGGTTTCACTGCGGCTGTGACGATGCTGCTCGAGGCYGAAATGTAGCTGACTGGGGTGATCACTTGCCCAGGAGTGGCAACTGGAGTCAGCACTGGCAAGCCAGTTGGTCCAAGAGGCAAACTGCTTGGAGGTATACAAGTGCTAATGGATGTCAGGGGTTTGCTTGGTGCAACAGCAGTGGTTGGTATCCCAGGAACAACTGTGGTTTCCATGACCAGCGAGGTCTCCAGAGACACTGCAGGATGMGCCGTTCCCACGTTTCCGTGTTCACTGAAGAGAGAGCGCAGCTTTTCTTCCAGGGTCTTGATATCATCAATACCAGGGGCTTTAGACTGAGCATCAGCATCAGCCTCCAGACAGTGAACRTGAGGTTGGTTGGGCAATGGAGCTGGTTGAGGCTGGCTGTGTATCAAAGTCTGCTGTACTGCAGGCAAGTTAGTGACTGGTTGTGGCAAGACACCAGGTAAGGGAACCTGGGGCAATATGGGTGTTGCACCTGAAATCTGGGGTAGGACAGGTGCTGATGTAATTCCTGATGGGACAAGTAAAGGATGTATCACTGGCTGAGAGACTGAAGCACATATGCTTGATGCTACTGAGGATGACAAAGGTGCAGAGATCGGAAGAGATAAGCCAGCTGCACTGCAGGGATGTGACTTATCCAGGGACTGCCCACTCTCAGGTAGTGACTGCGGAGCGCTTACRACTGTTGTTTCTGCCAGACTGGAGATGGAGCCACTGCTGCTGAGCTGAGGAAGCTGCAAAGCCACGCTGTGAGCCAGAGASTGGGCAACAGATGTCTGTGGTGCTGCCATACTACTCATGATCTGAGGAGTAGACTGAGACGTCACAGCTGGTGCAACAGCACCAAAAGCAGTGACACCAGGAACCTGGGTAGATGGCAGTGCCAYAGATGATGGTGTGCTGATACTGGGGGCAATGTCTGCGGTCACTGCTTGAGCAGGCTGGGATGTGGCAGGTAAGGTGACAGAAGCAGGGGCGTTCACACTGGAAGCAACACCAGTGGATTGCTGTCCAGATTGTGAGGCTGGAGGTGGAGAAATAGAGCTTGGCACACTCGTGCTTGGAGCAACTCCAACAGCTGCATTTTCTGAAGGCAAAGTAACAGATCCTGGAAGAGAAACACCAGCACTGGAGGACACAGAYACTGAACAAGTAGCCACAGATGCAGGAGTTGCACCACTGCCCGCCATGGTGGAAAGTGCAGGTGGAAATGGTGGCATTGTTTGATTGAACACTGGAGGAGCTGTGCTAGGTCCTTCTGCCATCTGAGCATGCCCCATYTCAGAGAAAGCTTGCTGCAAGCTCAGTGATGATGCTGAGTGGGACAGATTCATTCCAGGACCATGTACTGGAGATGCTGCAACTGAAGAAAAGAGAATTATCAGTCCAACTGAAGAAGTTCATTACAGTATTACTATCTATAGCTAGACTAAGACCGTATTTACCACTTAGCACTAAAAAAATGCAAAGGAAACAAACAAACTAACTAAACAGAAAACAAACAAAAAAATCCCAACACCAGAAAACCTCACAAAAATCCAAAACAAAACCAAAACAAAACAAACAAAAAACCAAAAAAAACAACAACAAAAAAGCCAAAACCCCAAAACCAAACAATCCCGCCCCCCTCAAAAACAGAATAACAAAAAAACCCCACCAAAACAACAAAACACACAAATCCAGGCTTATATTAATACAGAATTAAGATTTCAGAGTCTTGCAGACAGTCCATCAGCAGTTTTTCTCCAAGAATCCTGCACAGTATGACCCAAACTATGAACACTCTTATCAGCACGGACAGCTCCTTACTTCCCCAAGYACGTTAAAACGTGTTAGAACAGTTTAGTTATATGAACTTCACAGTTATGGTGAACATGTCCTAGCCATCAGCTTTTAAGAGTTTAGACAACTCACCCATATCTGAAGTTTCGTTTCCTCCAGAAACTGCAGATGTGAAAAAKCCCTGATCTTTCAGTCGGCTCTCAGGAACGGGGCTGACAATGAACCGTCTTCCCGCAGAATGAACAACCTGGGTAAAGGAGCTAGAAGGAATCCCTAAACAGAAAGAAGTTGGATGTTTAGTGACACATGGTTGTAACTAAATACATAACCTGCAATATGGAATGTGCACTCCATCATACAAAATAAAAACTTGGCTGCACCCATCCGCTGAAACAGAAAAAGGTAACTGTTGAAAAAAAATCACAAAAGACTTACCTATTCTTTGTGGCATGGAAGATGTAGGATCTGGCTGTTTGAACTCTAATTTCTGTAAAGTAAGATAAAATTTAAACTTCTATTCTGAAACAGAAACCCACAAGATAGTTCTTAAAATGCTAGCTTACTGAAATGTGGGCATTTAAGGAAAGATTGCCTGGGACCCAAGCACCATCACCRAACTAGAGGAATTCTGCCCAGATAAATGTCAGCTATAGTGTTTTTAGAGACTCTCATCTTAGTGATCACCAACGTAACAAATTGATCTAAAAACTCTTTTGTTAACAGGTAGTCCAACGGATTTCCTTAAACATTCTATAGATAAWTTGTATGTTCCAAACCAGTTCTGGGTGTAATTAAGGCAGAGATCCAGGAAACGTCACCCCCTCCAGCATCCAGCAAGCAGTTTTAAAAGCTCTGTTTCCTAAGCAAGCCATCCAATCTCTCAGTACTTCACTGGGTGGAGGGCCTGAGTCCAGACTCTCAGTGTTTAGTGAGAGCACAGGGTTGGGGTTTTACTGTCCTACCTCACAATAATCTCAAATCCAAGAAGCATYAGCATTTAAGACTGCCTGTTTAGTGGACTGTTAGGAGAGTCAGCAGCTTCGGAAGTGTTCAAACATATCGAAAAGTAAGAGGTCCGTTATTTAGCTTTCTAACTTAAACTTTAGGCACTCACTCTGATACAATGCTTTCTCTTTTTGTCTTTTAATTACTGATCTTTGATATCTCTCAGGACAGGAAGTTTCTATTTCTAGCTAGCTCYACTCACAAAACCATACCACCCAAAATGGAAGATACAAAAAGCAGAGGCAGTCTGTCCTTCACGTACCTGAGACCCAGGAAAGAAGCCATCATCTTTTGTCCGCATACTCTCCAAGCCCTGATCCCCTTCTGGCTCCACACTTGCATCCTCACTTAGCATTTCGTCTGCTTTCTCAATAATCTCTCGTACCTGTTCTACAAATGAGTCTCGTTCTGTTGCTAAAATAAACTCATTCTGCACCTGTAAAGAGAACAAAGCAATATTAATTTACCAAAAACTATTTCAAAACAATATACTGAATAACTATTATTTACTCTTAGTGCCAATGTTTGCTGTTTCCATTTGCTGTTCTTCTGGACAAGATGAAGGTGATGACACCTTAGAAAATAACAATTGTTTCTCAAATTATCTCCAGCACAGAAGTGTTTGCCCTAGCTTCATCTTTGCTGTGGAACAACATTCACAATCTCACTTCTTCATCAGACTGTGACCTCAACCTTTGCTTAGCACAGGGAAATTTAAAATTAGCAGCCTTACCTTACTGCAATTCCTCCTGTCTAATGAATGCAATGTGCATTAAGAGACATTTAAAGAGAACTATAATATAAAAGAAACTGAARATTCTGTATTCCAAGATGTGTTCTGTGCCTCTCTTTCCATGCCATACAAAACTCCTCCTCTACAGAGGTTGCACATCACTGATTTAAAGTCTGGCTGAAGTACAGGAAAGCCAGTATTAATTATGTTCCAAATACAGAGAGACAAAGATTGCTCAGCCTGTCAAATTGTACTGCACCATGAAAATACCTTCTCTTCCTTATGTTGGACAAAACTAGTTTMAACAAGTGTAGTTGATAGTTAAAAAGGAATTTTTGATTTGGCCTGATCCATGAGARTATTCTGTCTCCTGAAATTATGCATGGCAAAACTTGCAGAGACAGTATGAAACAGAATAAAGCTGCCAGTCAGATTCTCTGCTGGAAAAGAGAGAGAAAGTGCCTTAGAGGTAAGGCTTGAGACACTGCTTTTACATTAAATTGCTGGGATGTTGGTTCAAGAAAAGGTAAGTCAAGAACGATGTGCTTATATCAGCCTTTGCAATGCAGAATACTTTACTAGTTAAAAAAACCTTCAGAATTTTAAGTTTRGGAATGACAGACACCTATATAGGGTATGCCTAACAGTGTAATGATTAAAAGGAAACAACAAAGTCTTGCACTCAAAAGCTTGTGCAATATTCAACAAGGAACCAGTGAGCAYAATGTCCCAGATTGAGATGCTTAAATTAGGTTGCACACTTTAAACTGTGTGACTGCATTTTGGATGTGAAGTTCACTTATTTTGCTTCTACTCATCTTCAAAYATTTTTAGGTTTTGTTGCTTGGAGAGTGTTTGTGTGTTAGTTTTCATTTTGTTTGTTYAGTTTTTATAAATCAAACATATTTGTTTATTTCTCCATAGGGTCACTTCAGGTATAAAGTGAAGAAAGGCAWCTGTGTACTCTTTTCATATTTTCTAGCATGTGACTTTATGTTACTGACTTGTTTACTGTGCCAATAGATGTACTTAGCCAAGAAYCAGCTTCTCTCTTTCTCAGAAAGCCACGAGTGGCAGAAATAATTTCTCCCATATCTGTTTTGGTTCCTTTTGACAGGTATAAATSCAGCACACACCAACTCAGATTCTGCCATCTCTCTAACCAAAAGATAAGCACTGCACAGGTGCCCAAGAAACTGGCAAAATATGCTGTGTTTTGTCATACTCCCTCACTTCAGTAACACTGAAAGAATCTCATGTTCACTTAGACTGTACCAGACCAAAACTAGAAGTTTAAATTTAAAAAAATCAAAGGGAGGTTCTATTCTATGCTACTCAGTACTCTGAAATGCATCTCTACAGGGCAAACTCTTTCCAAGGCCTGACCATCATACATTGAATGGATAAGTTTTTTTTCTTTTGATAAAGTAAAAAGCAGCATCAGTCACTATCTACTTTCAGAAACCAAAATGCAATTCCCCTTTTCCTTACTTTAAGGGCAGAATCTTCCCATTTCAACTGACAACAATGGCAAAACACTTGAAGAATAAGAAGAGCAATGTCTGCTCTTAGAAAAGCAAACAGAGCTTTTTAACCTGTCACTTACAGAAGGCTGCTTGCAGTTTTAAAAATGCTAGACTGAAAAAAAGCCACAAAACAAAAAAACAACCAGAAGTGGTTTTGCTTGACGAAGACCTCAGTTCTAAGGTAAAAATTGACACAAATTTTCCTGTGAATTGTGCATGCAACAYTGTCAGACTGCTAAACCACTCTGCGACAAATTTCTAATTGTGGTTGTGTACCAACAAGGTGAACAAACACCATGCTWCATGGAAGAGCATTCTGAAATGTAAACAAGAAAATATAAACGAATGGATTGAATTTTTCATCTTTAAAATATATCTTACCATAATTGAAGCTATTTCCTCAGGGTTATCACCATCCAAATCAAATTTGAAAGTAACCATTTTTCGATTGTGTGTCTCTAGCTGGCATTCCACTACCCGATCACCTTTGTTTGAAACCTAAAGCAAAGAAAATAATACTTCAAAACAAAAGCACAAGAATCTAAGRCTTCCTTTAAAGTTCACTGAGACAAACCAACAGTACTGGTATAATACAAACATGTTCTGTCTTTCCAGTTTAATAAATGATGCCACATAGAGAATGATTTTAGTCTGAGGATACTTCAAATATTCTGGAATAGTCTGTGGAACCATCAGTAGCTAAGCAAGCCAATTTTGCCRTATCTAATGCTCCAAAAGGCTCTTAATAGATGATATCTGGAATGCTTGTAGAGGCTCAAAAATGCATCATTACCATTGATCTGGTCATAAAATAAGAAATACTCACATTTAAAATTCTCAGTTTTGGCCTAGAAGTCTTCTCATGGCGAGAGCGACTGCGGACCGACCTCCGCATGTGACGCTTCGTTGTCCTCCCTTCGTGCCTTCCACTAGAAGTTGGAACATTCTCATTGCCATCACTCAATCCCGAAGCAACATCAGAATGTGCACTAAAAACAAAAGGCAATTTCACATTAGTATCCACGCATTCCATAACTGCAACAATACTCTTTAACCTATCAGATGATACTCTGTTCTGGGAAGTGGCAATGTGTGTTAATTGCAGAGTARAGGAAAAGTCCTGTCAATACTTCGGGCTGCTTGCACTGAAATTCTCAGTGTGATTATGTTGCCACACCTCTTGCAAGCTAGGTTGTACAAATCTATCTTACGTTTTCAAGCTATTTGGAGTCTGAATTCTGTTTAAATGCCAAAAGGACAAAAAACTGTCACTTATGATCCATTTGACATGACAAATAAAAAAGTACTAGAAGTTAATCACTATACACAACCTTATCTATTCCCTCTATACCCCTCCATAAATCACAACCTACTCCACCCTTCATGACCCTAYTTTTCATCTAGGAAGTTTAGTTCGTCACATCCTCAAGAGCACCCCCAGTGAAAAAAAAAATATCCCTGGTGAAAAAATGTATCTAAAGATCACCCATATGTGTAATCAAACCCAGGACATTGAAATTCAGTTTGGAGAAAAGAAGGAATACTCACCTATCCATAGAAGAAGCCAAAGGGGTAGACTGAGCAGGCTGTGTTGCTGGAAGAGTCTCTGAAGAAGCAGTCTGTGAGACTCCCTGAGTACCCTATGGATAGAAACCTACAATCAAGAACCCCCCCAAAAAATACAGTTCCACTTCAAGCAACCCAGTAGTCTTCAGAGTTTCCTCCCAAATCAGGTGTAAAGCTGAAAGCTCTGCCTTTTTCTGAGTTTAAACAGCTGGCATCTAGACAGCCTTAGTTTACAAAATACCCTAGAGCAAACTGCAGTGAAGCAAAATGTCATCTGAGGAGGAGTGAGGAGAGGAAACCAGCCACATGTCCTTTCTACTGCCACATGTCACTACAGCTTGCCATGCAGTCACARTCTTACTAACAGAATGTGCAAAATGCAAGCCAATGCAGAACACAAAGACAATTCAAACTCTCCCTGCAAGAACAACACTGCAGGGAATAGGCATCATGAGACATTGTCAAAGGCTATCGATTGCAGCTTGTCTTTGACACGGCAAAAATGTTCTACAGAACTAGCGAGAAGTGAAGTGTTTTACTGCTTTTTGCCTGCAGGATGCACACTCACTTCCCAACAGAACAACCAGTGGCAACAAGGTCCCCACATTGGCATGACATTCTGCTGTAAGAAAAAGGTAATTTGAAATATTAACTTCCAACTGAAGACAAGCACAAAAGGGATTAGTTCCCCACAGAGAGACACTGTTGCATGAGTCAAACATCCAAAATCTATCCTTCAATTACATTCCATATATTTACCTCCACAACTGCCTGCTGGGAGGAGGCAGATGAGGCCTGTTGTGCTAAACTCACAGGAGGCTGGGGCACCTGAACCTGTCCTCCCAGGCTGCCCATGGAAACTAAAACATTCTGTTCCCCATATGGCTGCACAACAGAAGCAATATAGCCTGACTGGGCCATTGTGTCTGTGGGCAAGGGTGGGGACAGCACAGCAGAGGGAATGCTGGCAGAGGCCACGGCAGAGGAAGGTGCAACGTTCGAGTCCCCTGGGTATTGCGGTGTCATCCGAGATGGGAAGCCCTATAATAACAGAAATGAGGGAGTCAAGTCAGTGAATGTCAGAGGCAATCAGAAAACAAGACAGTAATTAAAAAAAAAAGTATCAGTTCCCAGGGGCATGTTCCAGCCTTCTGTACTTGTTCAAGMACTCCCAAAATCTTCCCAAAGAAGTGGAGCACACTGCTCATGCAGCCAGCATGCAAGTCATCATACATGAACAAGCAAATTCCCACTCATAATTCCAAGTCTAAGCAAAACAATCTTCATCTCCCAACTCTCGCAGCTGCCTATAGAGCTTAAGATTTTAAAGTTTGAGATTAGAAATGARCTTGCAGAAATTGCAGGCTGAACAACTACGGCTCAGATATTACAAAACTGCTGCTGGTTCTTGAGATTAAATAGCAAAACCACTCTTGYGTTCTTCCTGTCCTCTTGTAATGAGCTGACCCAGAAACAAGGAACAGTTKTATCATTACTCAGGTTGCCACTTTGACAGCGAGTGACCACACAAAGTAGCTGAAGCAGTCTGTGCCCACCAGTCTAGCAGCTCACAACCAGCATCAGGTACTTACGTCACATCCAAGATCCATGCTGCCTGATTTCTATGAATTCCCTGTCCCACCCCTTCCCAGACTTGGAATGTAATACTGATATTGTTGAATATGCTGCCGTTGATTTTCTTTCCAACACATATCTCCTATTTTTGAAGTYAAAATTTCTTATTTTATTTTTCCCCAAGCTGACAGATCTCTTGAATATATAGCTGTTCTCTTTCACACAGTGGTTAAACAAAGCCCTGCACTACGATTCTGTCATTTTATATAAAATTCCGGTGCCAAATATGAAAAATTCAAAACATATGGTTGTCCAAGGACTTTTTTTTCTTCTCTCCTCCTTAAAATGGTTCTTTACCACAAAACAGAATTTATCTTAGTGGCTTAATGGCTCTCATATGAGAAGTAAGCTGGCCAGGGCACATGGCTCAGATCTGGTACCTTAGAGGAACAGGCAAAGATGTGGAGAAGAGGTCTGCTGGCTTGCAACAATACCTGGTAAAGAGCATCTCCAGCAGGAAGTGAAGCTTCAGCAGCTTGTCCAATGCTGACTGGCAATCCCACGGACTGGACAGCCGGCTGCAGGAGCTGCGGGAGAACCTGGCTGGGCAGCTGAGCCACAGGCTGCATCAGTGTGGGAAGCTGGCTAGGGACAACGGTTGATCCTACAGGAACAGCAGTTGCCGCAGCAGACGTTGCCAGYGTGAGCAGCGGCTGAGTGATGCCAGCTGCCATTGAAATGGGCAGCGACTGGAAACCTGGCTGAGCCACTGTCACATGAGGAACTGCCACAGGCAACTGAGACACTGGGAACTGGGGGACCACRGAAGTTGGCAAGGCCTGTCCCATAGGTAGGAAATGAGAGCCAATGGGGACTGATTGGGCAACTGAAGGCTGAGGGAGAGAAGATGCTGCAACAGGTAATTGMGGCTCGCCTTGGATGATCGGCACTGGTTGGGAAACAGGAAGCTGGGGAGGTAAAGAAAATAGAGATAGATTTTTTTTTTTTAAAGCAGGGTTGCAGAAAGCAGAGTTTTACACATTAGTCAAAGAAAGCATTATTCAAGTTACAGCACTCTGTTAAAGTGGCTGGCGAGCACAGTTGGCAGAGTGGCTGGGAAGCTGGCTGGAGTTCCAAACAGCCCTCACTTTGCAACATTTCCCTTGAAGAACTCAACAGGCTCTTGAAACAGACAMCCACAGAGGGTAAAAGAGCAACATCTGAATACCCTGAAGCACTGATTTGTGCATAAACAGAATCAAATTCCCCTGAACTCTGTCCCCAGACCCAAGCCTGCCTTCTTACAGCAAAGAAGTGCAAATCTTAAATCTGTCAGCTTTGAGTATGGGGACTAAAGCAAAGGAGAATCAAAATCCACTGTGCCAGCATTTGGAGAATGGCAGGGGATATGTCAATTAAAGCCAGCAAACAATGCAACTGGAAAGGCAGTTTAGATGAACAAGCAACAAAACAATAACTTTAAAAATAAAATTGCGGCTCACACATTGAACAGAGATATGAGCCAAAATGAAGCAGTATTCAGTAACAGAAGCTTCTTGATCAGGAAGTAAAGGAGAAGAGCTGAGTAAGAAAGATGACAGAATGAAGAAAGGAGCCCTATAGTTCACTACCTAAGTAAGTGAATATGTTTTAGATATGTAATGGTGCAGAAGAGACACAGCATATGGGAAACAAAGAAATGACAAGTTCCTGAAAATCCGTTCACAATGCACCATCCATCAATACCTTCCTGATAATTTCGACCATTTGAAGAAGTCTGTGCATGGAAGTGCTATCCTTTCCTCAAATTACTCACAACTGCCACGTGTGAAAGTGTTTCTGACACATTTTCCAGTCAAATTGACAGTTGCAGTACACTAAGAATATTCTGGTTTGGATGAATGCTTTGGAACCATTAGAAAAGATGACAAAAGTGAAAACAGCAGCATATTGAATGTACCAGCTCTGAAGAAGAAAAAAAATCCTGCTAGAAAGAATTTTGTTTACCTGTGTCCCAGCTGCTGCTTGAGGCATTGGCATAATCTGTGAGGTTTGAGTTTGAGAGACAGTTTGTGCAGGAGTGGTGCTGGCAGAAACTGAGGGCTGCTGCATCTGGTATTGTCCAGGCTGTTGGGAAGAGGCTGGCTGCTGTGCACTCTGCAGTAGGAAAAAGAGACAGAAGCTGTAAATCCCCCCCCAAGAGATGTTTTTTAAAGCATATCCTACTTAAAATCGACTTTTCACTCTATCATAAGTGATATCACTGGTTCTTCAGATATGCCAAGTCAGTTAAGCTTTAGCAATTACTTCCTAGAATTACTAACACAGCCCCACTATTGGCACCAAACCTTGCAAAAGAATTCTTTCACCTGTGAAACCAAGAATGAAGATTCTATAAAGGAAGTTAACAAGGCAGTTAAGAGAAGAGAATGTTGCAGAAGATCATATTTCCAGTTAGAAGAAATCATGAGAATGAAGTCTGCCTGTGCAAACAGTCTAATCTGCGAATCCTGACATGTCTCCCCTTGAATGGGACCACTTGGCAAACTCAAGTGGAAGTTGGGGAAGACAGGCATGGGAAAAGAAGCATTAATGCAATTTTTAAAATAAATTTCAGAATATCAATGCATATCTCATAGCATGTTAGACTGGGTGAGAACCAGAGGACTCTTCTGCTGCAAAACTGTGGGTCAATGGTGACAGAGACAGTCAACAACTCTTAAAACAGTCATTAAAATCCCAGACTGTGAGTACTTTAATCCTGCATTTAGGAACTGTGGTCTTACCTGCTGAGTGTGTTGAGGAGGCTGGGATGGCATCGATGCATTGCTTGAAGCTGGCTGTCCTTGCACCTGGGTCTGGAGGGAAAAAAAGAGAGAATCAGCTGAGGAAAACGGTATGGTTTCTGCTGCAAGCAGTTAAAATCATTTCTGCCTGGAATGATCTGGTTGGAATAGGTTTCTAGCTGTCCTTTTCGACAAGCAATCCATCTGGCCAAATCCCACTACAACAACCAGAACAAAGCACAGCCATCTGGAGGAGTTCTGAACTTCATTTGAAGTCTTCCAAATTAACCAATACAGAAAGACTCTGCAACCCACATGCCCTTCAAYACAAGACAGATCAGCCTACCAGCTTCTTCTTCCACTGGTGATGCTTTAAGAGCAGGATGCCTTGGTATGGTAACTGGAAATAGATGCATTAAGTTTTACCTTTACACGTGTTCTAAACACAGTCAGGTGGGACAATAAAAGGAGGCTATACGGAAATAAAACTATCCATAAAAAAAACCAAGCACACATATACACAATTGTAGACCAATTACAGATACCCAGTGCACATACATGTCATGAGTTTCCTCTGAGACACATGTCAAAACACAGGCTAATAATAATTTCCAGAGTCACTACCATTCAAGGGCTACCAAGAATCAAATATGGAGGAATATGGGGGTTCACATTCTAGCTAAGACAGAATTTTTGAGTAAGCAACGAAAAAAATGGATGAGTGGCATACAAATGAATGTGGAAGATGCATAGGAAAATGGAATGGACTTTCATTATTATTTTTGTGGCTGAAATTTTATCAGATCCCAGGATCTGCATTATTATTTTYGTGACAACTGTATTTCTTTAATCAGCTCCTGGGAGAGAACTAGACAAAGACCTCCAGATGAGTTCCCTGAGCATGCACCACTTGGGTGAACTGCCTTTGTAAGAAGCATATCTGGTGCATATGTATCATATCAGAAATATCTACTAAAATTCCTTAATGCTRTGATCATTCAGCTCGCAGAAGCTCATTAGGAACAAGTCTGTTAAAATTACATACTTTTCTAATTATGGAAACTTTGGGGAAAGCAGACTGCCAATGAAGAGAACCATTTTTTTCCTTGCTGTACTAGAAGCCTGAGGCCCTTATTGGCCAGGATCTAAACATGTGCTACAACCCACTGCTATAACGTCTGTTCACATCGACTCAGGGTTTCAAATTCTAATCTTCTAATGAATTAGATAAAGGATCCCAGAACTTACACTCTGCAAAAAAAAAATCTCTTATTTTGTTTTCCAGATGTATTCTGCATCCATCAGAATTCACCTCCTGAGCTTAACAAAGGTTTASGGAGGAAAAAAAATCTCCACGTARTTTTCAAAGTTCTTGAGTAGGAGAYWMATTACACAAATTCTACATCACAGCAATTACTAAGCTGTTCCAGCTTTACTAAACACCTTTATTACCCCTTACAGAAAAGCCCTAAATACTTAGTTCTTGATCTTAACACAGAAAGCAAAATTATTCTCCTTCACACCAATCCCAAAGCCGCTAAAACTCCAGTAACTAAAATGTCAAAGCCCCTAATTCCAAGGACAAAAGTGGTAAGAGAGAAGTCTACTTGAAGTAAATCCTCTCTTTTCACGGAAAGTTACGAGACTTTTCAGACTAGGAGCGCAGACACAATGTATATAGACACACACCTCACAGTCACAGTGTACAGAAAAGTGACCATTGCAAATGCAAATACCACACATGCTGATAAAACACATCTCCAAACTAAGCTTCATGCCTCACATTTTGCTATTTAACAGGACACCACATAAGGCTTATACGCTGGCAATACCAATTAGCAACAGTTGTTTGTGCCATTAATTAACTAATCAGCCTGTTTAGCTTCTTCAAATACTTCAACAAATACATTTCCAAATCCATGTACACGTACATAACAYAGCTCCTTCCAATTCCTCTCTTCCCACTTTCTTTCCCCAAGTCTACTAAAAGCTCTCAAATTTTGAACAGTCACCAAAATAACCTTGTTGTCTAATGAAACAKCATTTGTATGAAAGTTCAACTTCAAATAACACAATCTCATTAAAATGGCTAGAGCAGCAACAGAAACACAAAGCAAGTTTTACTATCACTGCTGATTCCAACCATGCAGAAGACAGATTTCATTAAAACCACTGTTTAAAAGCCAATTTGGTACTCCAGCTTTCTTTCATCAAAAGAACAACTAGTACCAGGAGGAACACTGACCATTTTTTTATCTTTAACACAAAAGCCCTACCAATATTTCAGCCAAATCTGAACACAGACCAAACGGTTGCTAATGCCTCATTACTTCATTGCAACCTGGTCAGGTTAAAGAGATCCTAGCATAGACTTGGTGGAAAGACACCCCCATGAAWGCTAATTCTAAGAACCACATGGAGCAGATCTAAAAGCAAGGTTTCCCTTTTAGTGCCAGGTATCACTCATAAAAAGCAGTGAAATTCTGGAAGGGTTTGCTCCTGTAACCTGAGGATAGGATGCAGGTGGTCCTGATGAAAGCGAGGTGGACAAGGCCTGCTGAGTTGAGGCTCCCTGGGGGAAGCAGATGAAGAGCTGCGACTCTTGCAACACCTTCTGAGGCAGCTGAACAATGGGCAATGAGAAGTCTGAGCCAAAAGCAGAAGATGATCCCCCTGTAGGGGGAGGAGACTGGAAATCACCAGTGTCAGAGGAAGTCAGCTGTGAGGAATCACTGGAGTATTCTGGGCTTCCTTCTGGCCAGCTGTGCCTGGCTGAGCCCCCTCTGGGACCCGCTAACCCAGCACCAAGATAGTTACACTGCTCCTCTGTCACAGGCTGAAGCCGACCATGCGACCCTACGCCTTGGCTGGACTCCTCTTGGCTGGTCTCCATAGAGCCCCGGCGACTTCTGTAGACCCGCGGGGGTAAAGCTGCCCCTTCTGCCGCAGCAGAGCTCTGGGTGTGCACATGGAACTCAAAGACACAGCTCGCTCTGCCATCACCGCTGTGAGAGAGCACAGCCGGGGCAGAGTGCGGAACAAATACCTGGTGGAACATCATCTGAGCTGGGTCTGCACTCAGAGGAGCTGAAACACTGGATAATGGAGAAAGGGGACCCATCCCAGAATCCAGCCTCAGGTTCTGAACGTGTCTTGCCAGGTATGTTTGCCCCGATTGAAAGTCGAACACAGAGCTTTGTGGAGGACCACCTTGCCCATGGTTTGACTYAGAGACCTGCTTCAAATGCTGTTCAGTCACGTGAGAGTTATAAGCTACTTGATCATACTGCTCCGATACCTGTGATGGATAGTGCATGCCCACCAAATACACAGCTTCTGGATGCATTCTGTAGTGAGCATCCTCTGGAGGTGTTGGTCCAGATCTATAGTCATTGTGCACAGGAGCTTGCTCAAACACRGGATTAACTTGCACATGCAGAGGCTCCCCAGCGACTCTCTGAGCTGCTGTGCCCAGCATAACAAATGCCTCTGGAGTCCAATTAGTGGGACTACCACCAGGTGGAACTAAACTGTGGCCAGTCTTCAGCAATGGCTGGAAGTGGCAAGTATGGGCTTCCAAAAATGAAGTGCTCTTGCGCCGCTGAGCAATTGCCACCTTCGGAGGGCAGACAGGTGGTGGTGAGAAAGACACCGGCCGTTCATGAACGGTTGGGAAAAATATCTGTGAATCTGGGAACGGTGGTGTTCCCCCACGAGGATGCTGAGGCTGTATTGACATGAACAAGACAGGTAATTCATACATTAAAAGTGAAAGCACATCAACATGCACAGTTCACTAGGCAGTTCTGTGAGGTAACTTTATAGAATTCATACTCAATTCATGGTCAAAAACATACAGTACTTAGGAAATTTAGGTGAGTTGTAAATATCCATTAAATACATCCATGGCAGGCATAGCTACAAATGGGAACATTTGCTGGTGTTAGAGCTGCTTTTCCAGTTCAATTCCAACAGTTCACAAGAAGAAACCAATTTGGCTCCTGACAATGGAATGAGACTTATTGTCATGGCCTATYCATTGTGATCAGTGCTTGAAATCCAATCAAACCCCTGAGGTCACTGCCATATGTGGAATATGAAATACAGAACTTGATGGCAGCAACAATGCAGAGCCTCTAATTTGCATTTTAAAAATAAAAGGACATTAAATCTTTTCCAATACAAAAACAACAGTGCTGGTGTCCTGTATGCTATCCAAAAAGCAAAAAAGAAACATTTAATAAGACAAAATTTACCCCTTCTAGCCCACCRATGAAAACAACCCTATGATAAAATTGAAGAACCTCTGGGTTCTGCCCAAGTTGATCATCTCTCTTGATGCCATTTAATCATTTTTGATCATACCTTTTCACACAGAAAATTAGTACTCAGTGAAACAAACTTAACTCTTGCCTGGAAATATTCATAGGTTCAAGCAGTCCTCAGGCAATTCCACTCCATCTGATGTACTATTTCAGATGAGGCTCATTTTATTTAAGAGTTGTAGGGAATATTTCACTGAAGAAAGTCCTATGTATGAATATCAATTTAGTAATTTTGCATCTTTGCATCTCTGCCTGCAGTATGCCCAGAGACAATGTATTCCCTTCCCTAATGGAAAAAAAAATTGTAGGAGTTGATAGCAAATATACCGTCCAAGACAAATGGCATTTATTCCTTTTTCAAACTGCCGTTTCCACATTGTTTACTTTCTCCCCAGTTTCTTTTGTCTGGAAAAGCAGCAGCAAATTTCCATATTGACCAATGCTAAAGAGAAGGTCCTACAGATGAAATACCTTTCCTATGCTCTAAACCTGGTTCCACTTACTTCATTTACACAAAAATGCTTCTCAAGACTTAYTTTGTATAAACTGAAGCTCAAAATTGAAAGGCAACTACCTTCTCTACTGCAAGTTATCTTGCATCTGACTTTCTGAGAAACATGAAACTACAGCTTCTTCCCATTAAGAAGCAGTTGAAGTGGCATTTGTGATAAGAATTTACAAAAATAGCCTTAAAAGAATTCATACTCTAAGTATCTAATATCACTATCACTGCTAGCCAAAGCTTTCAGAATAACCAGCCACAACAATCAGGCTTTAAAAGCTGGTTGTTTTGTGCAGGGCATAATTAACACTCCGTGTTTACTCAGTAGTTCAAAAGTCAGTGCTCTGACTTAGGGTAATAAGAGCTAGCCATCCCTTTACCTTCTGTGGTACAACTGGGTATTTACATTTATAGTATCCTAAAAGACAAGAAACAAATGGTCAGCCACTGTTTGATCATCTTTAAATGTACTGCTTCATAGAAATAAATAAAAATAACAAAATCAACATTCCAGCAGCACAGTGTAAGGAACCAACTCTTCAATTTCTCATTTTAAAAATGCCCGGAGCCCAGGATGTATTTAATGATAACTTATCTTACTGTGCCAGGAGGCAAATGGTAACACATACAGGACTGACAGAGAGGGAGGGCAGGCTGGAGCGTCGATGCTTGCGTGGAGAGGCAGAGTGCATGGGCAGGACACTTTCCAGGGCTTTAGAAAGCTTTTCTGCAAAGGTTTCTTCAGGGACAGTCCGAAGGTAGAAAGGAGAAAGAGGTGCAGACAGCGCTGATGGTGGGGTGCAAGGAGCACTGAGAGGGATGCAGGACATACAGGGAAGAGCAGGAAGGTGGGGAACACAAACTGACATGCTACGACCACGTTGAAGCTAAAGGAGGAAAACAAAAGTTAAGAATTGAACACTTCAAAAAAAAAAAAAAACCAAACCAAACAAAAAAAAACCAGCAAAAACTATAATGAGGTAGAAAAGAAATTAAGACACACAATGAGAGGTCCAATATTGACTAATATGTGGTACCACAAGATATGAGAATGCTGAATGAATGCCAACACACACTGGGAATAGACTGTGTGCACCTCTGAGGACCCAAGTTTGCCTTAGGTAACTGAGCATTATGAAACACTCCCCAGTACCTTCATGAGAAACATGTGAAAGGCAGACCAGACAGAGAATACTTTCTCTGGGGGCACAGACTGAGCCCATACTGGGTTACTCAAAGTGTCTGGTAGTCTGACAAATAAAAACTTAGATACTAATGAGCTTTCAAACATTCATCAGCTTTTAGAGCAAATGTGTGTTTACAGGTATCACCTAASCCAGTTGCTCTACTGGGGCACTCCCTCTGCCTGAATTATGTGAACTAAATATAAGCAGCTGGCTCTTTATTAACTAAAACATTACCATAAAAATTTTAACATTATACCCTAAACAACATGAGTTGTGGAAAAAAGTCAGTCTAATGTGTGGAAAATGCTGTAAAACTAGTCTTAGACAAGCATTTTCCAGATGCTGGGCCAATAAAAGCATCAAGATTTTGTAATCTTACCACAATCAGTAAGGCCACAGGTCAAAATCCAATCAAATCAGCAAAACCAGAATAAAGTTTTGAGGTGAGATTTGCATTTTTTTTTTGTTTGGGGAGTTTTGTTATTGCTTTTTTTGTGTTTTTGTGTTTCATTGTGTTTTGCTAAGAGTTTAAGTGAATGGAAACATTGTATTTTAAAAGAGGCAGTATATGCTTCTTATGGATGCAATCCACAATATCTTAAACTAATTGAAATCAAATACAGACCTCCAGAGAGAAGAATATCAAGGTAGTCAGTGGAGATCTGACTTTCAAGATTTCTGTTGTGAGAAATTTTCATARGCTGATTAAAAATTTGGGATAGATGTAGAAAAGAACTCAAGTGGTTAACTAAATACATCGTCATCTATTCCAAAGCAATAGTTATACATCGTTCCTGACTCTTAATTTATCTAAATAGATCAGAAACATCTTCATTGATGGAGACTGCACTACTTATCTATCCTTGTTGGTATTAAAAAAAAATCCTTCCCAAACAATAATTCCATGCTGCAATTTAGACTTATCATTCCTTATTCTGTCCAACAACAACGTTGTGATCTGATTAGCCTCCTCCTGTTTCATAGCAGCCTTTTACAGCTTKCTTTCTTCTCAAGCTTATCTTTCATAGACCCAACTATTTCAGTCTTCCCATATAAACCAGTTTTTTTAGTTCTCTGGGGTTTTTTAACCTTTTGTCCTCTGAATTTTCTCCCAAGCCACCCTCCAATTCACTCAGTTAAGGGGTCCAGGAGAGACTTACCAATAGCCAAGAACAGAACTATTATTTCATATATAATGCAATGTTTGCCTTTTTTATGACAGCATGATGTTTTTGACCATGTCCAGCTTGTGGGCCAATATAATCCCTGACTTTTTTTTATAAATTTATTTTGCAAAATTGCTGCCTAGCCAGTGATTACTCATAATGCACTTGTGTATCCCATTATTCCAGTTTAAGCATGAACCTTGTTCTTGTCCTGATCAAATTGCATTCTCTGTTTCTTTTTAAGGCCATTTCTTCAGTTGTCAGTATATTTTCGACCTAGCAACATTTTCCCAACAAAAGCTTTGTCGTTTTCCTGTAGTTCTGTCAGCCTTCTGGTACCACAGGATGAGCATGTTTTCACAGCAGTTTAGCTCTACCACTATCATATGCTTATTCTTCCTCCCCATCTCAAAAGGTCATGGTCTTTCAAACTGGAAGCCAGCCATCCCAAGAGAGTGGCATGGTTTCTGGTCCAGTATGTGCCCAYACACCAAAATAAGGCTTACCCAGAAGAGCAGCTTATTTAGAAGGATTAAGAACTCATCATTGAGGACTAACAATACCACACACCTCACGTTGTGATTGAAAAATATGGTGATGCTTTGATTGTGAGTGATAGCAGCCTGTTTGCCAAAATCCTAGTTACACCAGGGATTCTGTAAWAAAGCCTACAACCACAGGTACCAGAGAAAGTGAGGACCCTCAATCTTAAGTGTCACATCTTCTCCTTTATGGTATTACTACAATATACCATAATGTCTGCCTCAGACTTGGATTTTTATTTGTGTAGAAAACAAGCAACAAGGGAACCACTGAAGACAATATAAAAGTAGCAGAARATCTACTCCAGAGTTAGAATAGATTTCTGCATACTCTCTTACTCAGATCTAAAAACATACCAAGGGAAAAACATACCAAAATAAAAGGGCAACACAAATGAACATAGTAGGAAAAGTATTTGTGCCCAGTGCAGACTTTCCAGGGAAAAGGAATACGCATGATGAGCAAATCAACACAAACTAGAAATAAAACTGGGAACAAGGATGTGGGGTCTTTTCAGTCTGGAGTTCTCACATGCAACATTCTGTAACAGTTAAACAAGTCTTACCTGCAAAATCTGTAATCAAAGCCTCACAGAACACACACAGCAATTTCATACAGTGGCTTCAATTATTATTATAATCCCTTCTTCAAACTAAACCAGCAGCTTGATCCCTGGTAACTTCTTATATACATACACACAYCACTTTCCCAAGTGAGATTAAATGCTCCCTTTCTTGAGATAGTTGTTTTTATGGATGGAAGTAACATCCTCAGAACAAGACTAACCCATCACACTGCTTAATTGCAGCCAAGATTAAATAAAATCTTTAAAGACAAAGATGCACTTGCATTTTTCCCTCCCCCGTTAAAATCAGTCATCTTGCCAAAAAAAGCCCCYGGAATCCTCTCATGCAGAATTTGTGTCCTATGCAAAACAAAACATACACGGAAGATGGCCTGGCAGATTCCCCTCTCACCTTTCAACAGATAYACAAAATCAAGTAATTCCATGCATTTGCAGTACTGTAAGGTCTGGCTTACCGCTGCAGGTGGCTGATATCCTCCATGCTGCTGGGACTGCACTTGGCCAACTGAAGCTGTGTATCCCTGGACTCCAGTGTTTGAGACTGACTGGTCATGCTGGGAACCATAGGASGCAGTCTGCTGACTGCTCACAGATTCAGTGTACACAGATGACCCCTGGCCGCTGTCAACTGTCCCATCAGCTGGAAAAGTTAAGGATAAAGATCTGCGTTTCAAGAACCGCAGTCTGGATTCAAAACTTGAAAGACAGTATAACTGATCAAATATTAAACTGATGTTTGTGCCACGTCATGTAGACCTTTATCAGCATTTTGCCTCTTGAATATTTAAGCTGATTTTAAAATCTTTTTCTTTCTCCTCGATACAATAATTTATTATCAATATGCCTTTCTTTAAAGCCCTGAAAAAATGTGTCATTTCAGGAGTTCTTTGGGAAGTTCATTTAATAATGAACTCAATTTCCTACAAAAGGCTAGACTAGAAATAGAAACCTACATTCCATATTGTTATGAATGATCTTTCAAGGTTTATTAATCATTCTTTTTATTTAATTTTAACAGCCATTTAAAACAGGTGTGTTGTACTGCCTGGCAGATGCACCATGTTGGCATAGTAGTGAACTAGGCAGAATAGTCAATTTAAAATCCCCGCTAYCTAAAGAGCAGACAGTAATTTGCTTTTTAACTTCATCATTCTAATATGGAAGTTGTCATCTACCATCATTATTCTAATAATGATTCAAATGCTGGGATGGCAGAAGAGGAAAAGACAGGATTATTAATTCATCTTGTCATGTACAGTATGTATAACAGAAAATTAAGACTTTTCAGAAAGCAAATTATGAGTCAAACTCCTTGTACATTAATCTCATTTCCACTTTAAACATAAATTAACAAGAATTCAAGTAAGTGGTTTTAATAGCTTTATCTGCACTGGTGCAAGAGTATACAGCCTTCTGCAGGGCCWGAATATATTGTCCGTATAGGAGGGCAGCAAAAACAATATGTGTTCATGCTTTAGGTTCTCCAGTTCATTCAGTATATTACTTTGAAACAAAGAGGAATTATTTGTGCTAAGACACTGGACTATGAACTGTGCTGAGCCTTTGCTCAGCTAAGCCAAGGAATGCATCTTAGGTTGCTCTGCTTTCTAGTGGACTATTGTTCTTCAGCAGACAGCAATGGCAGACAGCATCATCCTAAGATATTTACTGTTATACCCACCAAAAGTGCAAGACTAATGGGAGGAATCGTGTAAGTGCAAGAGTTCTAAATAAACCAACTGGCGCACTTACAAAGAACAGATATACTGGGTTGCTGGAACTGCAGCTGTTGGTGTTGATCAGCTTCTGGTTCTTCAGGCTCCACTTGCGTAGAAACCGATGCTGAAGCAGTGGGGACAGGAGCAGTACCAGTGACAGACTGGGGATGCTTTGACCCTGCATGGGAAGCACTTGATGGCTGCTGTTGCTCCAGCTGCTGCTTCTGACTACCTTCTTCCTGAAGTATGTTCTCCTGTTCTTCTTGCACCRACTGGCGCTGCTCTCGCTTGCGCTTAATCAAAGATACCCTGTCCTTGATAGCCTTCGCCATTGTCTTGTGATCCCCTTCACAGACATAGCCAGATTCCACCTGAAGGAGGACACATTCACAGAATTCAGACTGCCACAGACAGCCACTGTTGGAGTGCTACAGCAAAAGCTACCACCTTCTGGCACTAACTTCTCATCTACACACTTCTGAACCCCTTTTATTTCTAGACAGTAACAGCAAAAGCAGAGGCTGACAGACCACATTACRTTGTGAGAGAACAGCACTACTTCCAGAGCTTGATAAGACCACCAGCACTTACCATTTCCTGGGCTACATCCTCTGGGACATCTCTTTCCAAATCAAATGAAAACTCTATTGCTTCATTATCTTTATATTTGCCCTTGAGTTTTTTGATGTCYTCAATTCGCAGCCAGAGTTTAATGGCAATTTTTTCTCCATCATCTTCCTCTGCAAGTTCTACCCGTACTCCAGTCTCTTCTTGGAAGAAAGCATGATTCAAAAGGTCCTTAATAGCATATCTAGCACATTGGGAAAGAAAGTAGAAAGCACATTCAGTTATCAGGCTTTCATAAAATATTAAGGAATATCCTTGCCAGATGATCCTCTTATTTATTCTCTAAATTTTATGCTGTTTTGAACCACCTCATATGCATTCTGTCTGGCACAATAAGCAGCTTTGGCCTAAAGGTACAAAAGAGATTTACAGTCATACAAACACATCATTAACAATAGTAACCAACAGCTTAAACTAAAAGGCAGGAAATAAGTGATGTGCAGCCACAAAATTAACTCCAAATAAGAAAAAAACTAAATTGTTTAAAAAACAGAAAAAGAACTGAAAATACACAGCAACACCATCAGATTTAAAACTTCAAGAATCAGTAAAAGGGAATGAATAAACATGAACAAAACTAGTTTCGAACAGAATAGAGGGCAGCTAGAGGGTGGACAAAAGCTGAAGCAGTCTGAAATCACACATTCAGTAGGCAACAACCATGTAAAAGCAGAAAACAAAACAAATCCCACAAATAAACCACCAGAGCAGACAGACTTCCGGTAGTGGTGTAAGCTAACCACTTGAAGTAGAAATCATCTTGCAGAAAATGTAGATAAAAATTAGCAGCAAGCATTTATAACTTAAGAGTCCTCAAAATAATGAATCATACCAACAGAATCAAAGGGATAAAAAAATTCCAAAGGATTACAAAACAACCAGCCAACCAAGCCACATACCTGGAAACCCCCAAGGATTGTCCTCCACTATTTTGCTGACTAGGTCAAAGTTTTAATAAAAGCAATAGAATTTCTCAGTATACTGACATGGATGGTTATCATGGTATTTGCACTTTTCCTGACACTGTTAATTCTCTAAAACAATTACTGAATAAGAATCTACCAAAGAACAGAAGCTGCAGAAGTAATACTGGCTTCCCAATTTTTATCAGAACAAAGATGACCCCAGGAACTAACTGGATTTGATATCAAAACAGATAAAGGACTCAGACAGCAATTAATACCTCCATCAAAAAAGCAGTACTTACCTTTCACCTTTGTTTTGCCGAATGCATCCCTCAATAATCTCCTTCACTTCAGGGATTGCTACTTTATCGAAGCTGGCTGGCTTGACACCCTGAAACATAAAAATAACAACTGAGAAACTGCAATCCCCACATGATTTAAGTTTTGATTATGTCTACAGACTACCTATTTTTACTCTCTAGGTAACTGACCAAAATAACTAGTGCAMATTAATGCAAAGTCTTATTCCAGTACTACTGATTGGGGTGTTCACTTGTTTATTAGTGACTTTCGCAAACGCTCCACACACATTCCTTCCCATTTCCCACGATATTTCTCTTAAACAGAAGGCACTGGCACTTGGGTTCTCAATTTATGATGGAACTATTTAGTTTCCATGGAAGTTGTTCTGGTTAGAGGGAAGTACACATACTGGACAGAGAACGGAAGGAAATGGTTCCTATGTAACACTAATACAGGAAACTGCAGGAWTAATTTAACAGTCTTCTCAGCATTCTGCTGCTTCCCAGAATGTTTCCAACCTACCATTATATGAAGTAATTTTTGTACAGGAAAAACCTTACCCCAGGATGATCTGATTGAATCATTAAATAACTTGTCCAGTGTTTAAAAAAACAAAACCAAAACAACTTTACTGTATCTTAGTTCTCCCCCAAAGACCAGCTATGCTCAAACCACACCCATGCATCACTGCTGTAGTGAGTTCAGGGAAATAAGCTTAGCAATATGGGCCTGTACAAAAGCCCTTCCACAATACACAGCCACCCTTTTTCCAATACACCTAAAGCCACAGGGAGAAAGCAAAACAAAATCTAARTAAGATCAACCATCCAAATCAGTAAAACATGCCATGAGATATGACCATCTGGGAATTCTGCAAAACRTTTCAGGCAGAGAGCCAAGCTTCACCACTTAATCATGGCCAAAAGCTGTATTTTGGGGTCAATTGTCCACAACAACAAAATCTGGCACCCAATTTTACTTGATTCAGCCTTCAGTTTCAGACTATTTAAGACAGCAGAATGAGAGAAGATGAAGACATGCTGTTCAAATGCTTGAACAGAGCTGCTGTTTTCAAGCCAAACAATCCTGAAATTATACACCTGACACATCTGACCCTGTGTCACTGGTAAATGACARCTAAACACGGAGTGAAAGCCATGGCTCTGAATTACAGAAATAAATGAAGTAACAGTATAAGCATTGTGATTTGTGCCCTAAACAGAAAGTACTTCTCCCAACAACCAACGAAATCCTGGTAACATCAAGACATGATCCTTCCCCATTCTTTTGTGAGCAGGAAACAAATCTTGAAACAGAAATGTTTGAGCTTGAACCTGAGTCTTCGCAGCTACTGACCTTGTACTTTGAATTTTTWAAAGAAAAATAAAGCCAACACAAAAACCCCACACCACAGAAAGGAAACAATTTATTCTATGAAAACCAGTATGCTCTTAAAACAGGAAGATTATCTATTCCTTTGGTCTAGCACTTGCCTTTGTGAAATTCTAGCAACTCAAATTCACAGAACTGCAGACYATACTGTGACTAGAATAAGCACTGAAACACAGGCTGTCAGTGAATGTTAGCTTAATGCTTTTAGAAGCTTTGCTGACCATTAAGACTTAAGAAAATCAATGCCTCAGGTGATAAGACATCAGACCCAAGTTTGGATGGGTAAGTTTACGACTGTAACCMGTCCTTATCAGAAACCTCCAGCATTCAAGTAAGGCAACACACAGCTCTCCACTGTAAAGGGATTTATAAAACTTTGCTCATACAGATGACTTGTGAAAGATGCCCATATTTCATTATGGCCACACTTAAAATGGTTCCAGACGTTCAGGTTCATATGTGTAGTATAGGTATTTCTATATGTAATTAAATGCTTTTCTGTATAACATACATACATAACCTATGCAATAATTGTTTAACTGCTTAGTGCATATATTCCTATTGAAATCTGCCAAAGTTTTACACATGTAAGTCTCCTAAAGAACTCAAGCCTCAGACATAGCAGACTGCATTGACATTAATTTACACTGTGGTAGCAGAAGGATGATGTCAGATCTGTGACATTCTCATTTYAGAAAAGTAAAAGCTAACATGAGGAAGACAACTGGTATAGAAAAATATCAGCATAACAAAGCCAGGATATTACTATTCTTGGTAATTACTGCACCACATGCTCTGTTCTTGCATAGAGCCTGAAAAGTTAAAGCTAAGGATAGATTTTAAAATAAGTAATTCGATCTGCTACCCTGCATTTCTCACTCCTGAAAGAAATTAAACACTTGTCCAAATACTTCAGGCCCTTCCATGAGGACCATTTTACAATACCCCCATTTTGTGAATTCCAAACCAAGAGTTCAGTTAAAAAGTGAAGCTCCTGCCAGCCTCCTCCAGCAGAGTTTTCGTGTTCCTAACTGCTCCTCAGAAAATCTGGGAGAACATCACACTAAGGCCTAAAACCAGTATGGGATTCCATGTTCAAGCAGCTCCCTATTTCTCAGTTTGCTGCACAGCCCATGATAAGGGCTGCCTAAGCCTCCTTTCCAGCTCCAAACAAGCACTCCCCAGATACTGAAGTTCATCAGCTTTTCAAACCCTTTTTTCCTCCTCTTCCAAGCACTAATGGAAGTGGTAAACTTTTCTTCAAGACAGAGGGTACTATAAATGATTAAAAATCAATAAATCAGTGAACCCTCTTCTACCCAGAGCTGCTTCCACACCTTAACCTGCTATCACACAGAAACCCAAGGGAGGCCAGGCCCTGAAATTCACATAACCTTGATGTGTCCTTAAGAGTGCATTAGCTAGGCAGCCAAGCATACCTTCAGCAGTTTCTAAACCCAAAGGTACTCAAGGAAATGTTAGGTCAGCCAGTGTTTCCTGGTTTTGCTCCACTTAAGATGGTCACATTCCTATGTGGCTCTCCTGCTCCCCAAACTCCTTAGAAGAACCACAGGACAACTTAATCTACTAGCCCTACTTCCCAGTGGCAGTTTATCAAGAACTAAACACCCAAATCCCACTATTTCTGAGTTTGTTAAAGAATCAGCAGGAAGAGCTTGAGCAGAGAAAAAAAAGAAGCATAGAAAGGTATAACATGCACACTTGAAAATCAACATTTTCTCAAGCTACCATCTAAAATTGCATGAACAGGCAGTGCTGCTGAAAGCAACACCCTCCTTTTCTCCATTTCTGACTCCTACGCCCGTGTAATTTCCTTTCTTTCGCCAGCAAACATTTATACAGTTGCATAATGAACCAATTCACAGTGTGTTTCACACTTGAAACAAATCCAACTAAAAAAGGCTGCAGCAGCTTCCAGTGAGCTGAAGCTCCCTACATTGATGCACAAGCTCCCAGGCTTACTGAAGGACAATCAGAGCAGAACTGCTTATTTTGCAAGAAGAACCAACTTAAAATAAAAACCACTGAACACTTAGATTTTGAGAACACCTCTAAAATATGGATATCTAGGTAGGTAGCCACAGATACAAAACTAAAAACTCATCTTACAGTTTGCATGTTAAGCATAAAAAACATTTCATATTTCACTGTTCTTAGATGCGGCAAAGTTTATGATATTATCGGATTTTAACTGCGTGAAAAAAGTGTGCTCCAAAATTCAACATTTATATGGTTATTTGATCAGCAAAAGGCAAGGCACGTATTCTTAAAAACATTATATTTGCAAGAAATTTTAAAACCATGAAGTATATGCTATCCAGAACTCTTCACAATCTTTGCCTAGAAACACATAGTATTTTGCATTAGTTAGATCACCAGATTACTGGGTCAGTAGTTTAACATCCTGTTCTAATACAAGAGATACCAAAAATATAATTTACTTCATCAGAGAAGGTACAATCAATYCCGTGTAACTTGTAAAACAAATCAAAATTAAGGCAGATGAAGTGTTACATACCTGCAGACATTCTGAATTTAAGAAAATATACTGAGATTTGGAACAAAAATACAAGCGGAAAATAGCAGAATCAATTTTTGTTCCAGCCTGGCTCAACAGGATTTTAATTTAAATTTTTAATTTACATTTAAAAAGTTACATGGGAAGAAGTAAAGTCAAGTTTAAAAACTAAAGACCCAGGTTATGCAAATGCAAAGCAGTTCAGCAGATYTGTCCAGAACTCTAACTCATGTCAAAATACCTTCCTGTGGCTACATGTACTTAACAGAGCTGAAATTCTTACTTACCTCTTTAGCACAATCCTTGTGGGAGCAGCAACAGTGGGAATTAACAATAACAAATATGGGACAGATCTCTCTTTTTGTAAAATCCATCAGGAAAAGAGAGACACACACACCACAGAATTAGCAGGTGCTATTTTCTGTCAGGACTCCACTGCGCTGTGGACTTAACGCACAGCAGAAGGAAAGCAGACATCAAGGTTAGAAGGGAGCATTGTTTTCTCTTGGACACTTCTTGTTATTTTCCAAGTCCAGTACATGAGGCTGCAAAGAGTTGAGCTCAATATCTGCTTTTGCCACTATAATACTGAATAGAAAGAATCAAGACAAACAAGAGGTAAGCGTGTCTCTTTCCGCCTGCCCAGCCAGTTGCAAGAGGAGGAAGAAGTGACAGCAGAGGGATTCTTTACCCCTGCATGTCCCCGCCCTCCCACTTGGCTGCTCTGCCTATTCTCCACCCAGGTTTTCTGCAAGAGTTTAAGGCTRTGAGTGTGATCATCATCCAGTTCAGTCCTGCTGCTGCACAAGCACCACTTTGACCAGGGCAAACAGGTCAGGCAGAGCATTGCTCAGACCCAAGGCTKCCCACACTGATGCTGTGCAGGGGAATGAAGGCAGCTGCTGTTTCTCCTTTCCATGGAGCTACAGCAGTTTACATACACAGCTGTCTGCAGTTCAGCCCTAACAAAACACCAGTCAGCACAAAGACAATAAAATGCATTCTGCTACCAGTGGCAACACCATCTATTTCCCTTCTCCTTTTTCCTTAATGTAAGGGCACATAGATTTGAAGGTGATTGTTTCAAACTGCTGGACAAAGTTAGAAAGCTGCATTGTTGCTTGGTTTACATCATGTGCACACTAATAATCCAGACT